GCAATGTGGTTTACTGCCTCCATCCCCATCACCTATATCTGGCATTTCTCCCCATGTTGTCCGTCCCCAACTCCTTACCTCCTACTGTCCCTCCCCTAGTATCCCCTCACAGACCTCAGTGTGTGATGCTCCCCTCCCCATATCCATGTGTTCTCATTGTTCAACACCCACCTATGAGTGAGAACATGTGGTATTTGATTTTCTGTTCTTGTGTCAGTTTGCTGAGAATGATGGTTTCCAGATTCATCCATGTCCCTACAAAGGACACAAACTCATCGTTTTTTATGGCTGCATAGTATTCCATGGTATATATGTGCCACATTTTCCCTGTCTAGTCTATCAGCAATGGGCATTTAGGTTGATTCCAAGTCTTTCCTATTATAAAAAGTGCTGCAGTGAACATATGTGTGCATGTGTCCTTATAATAGAATGATTTATAATCCTTTGGATATATACCCAGTAATGGGATTGCTGGGTCAAATGGAATTTCTATTTCTGGTCCTTGAGGAATCACCACACTGTCTTCCACAGTTATTCAACTACTTGACACTCTCACCAACAGTGTAAAAGTGTTCCTATTTCTCCAGATTCTCTCCAGCATCTGTTGTCTCCAGGTTTTTTAATGATCGCCATTCTAACTGGCGTGAGATGGTGTCTTAATGTGGTTTGATTTGCATTTCTCTGATGACCAGTAATGATGAGCATTTTTTCATATGTTTGTTGGCCTCATGTATGTCTTCTTTTAAAAACTGTCTGTTCATTCCCTTTGCCAAGTTTTGAATGGGTTTGCTTGTTTTTTTCCTTTAAATCTGTTTTAGTTCTTTGTAGATTTTGGATATTATCCCTTTGCCAGATGGGTAGATTGCAAAAATGCTTTCCCATTCTGTTGGTTGCTGGTTCACTCTAATGATTGTTTCTTTTGCTGTGCAGAAGCTCTGGAGTCTAATTAGATCCCATTTGTCTGTTTTGGCTTTTGTTGCCTATGTTTTTGGTGTTATGATCAGGAAGTCCTTGCTTATGTCTATGTCCTGAATGGTTTTGCTTAGGTTTTCCTCTATAGTTTTTATGGTTTTAGGTCTTATGTTTAAGTCTTTAATCCATCTGGAGTTGATTTTAGTGTAGGGTATCAGGAAGGGGTCCAGTTTCTGCTGGATACGTACCGACAACCAGAACACCCAGCTATATAAAGAAAATATTATGAAAGCTAAAGAGGTTAATAGACCCCAATACAATATATACTATATATATATATATATATATATATATATATATAAAATTGTATATCTATACTATATCTATACACACACACACACACACACACACACTCACAATTGTTCAATTGTTATATCCACTTCAACTGGAGGAGTGTTGTTTCTGTTGATGGCGGCATCCTGAGGAAGATGGTTTTCAGGCTCTGGGAACTGTGCACTTTGGCTCCCTTTGTCCTGGGGGCAGCCTCACTGGTATGCTATACTGCCTGTTTTGGACAGGACACTATGTGGTTAGAGTGCTTGGGGCCCAGATGTATTGCTGGGTCCATCTGGTATCATAATGCTATATCCCTCTGGGTGGACATGGGAGGATGTCATTGGGCTCCAGGGATGTGGAGTTGCAGGGTCAGCTGGCTCCCAGAGCAAGATGTAGTCTGGTGGGGGATTAGTTTTTAAAATGGTGCCGTGCAGTGCTTTGGCTTTGGGGGGTGAGTAGAATGGAATGTGAATTTCCTCTGTAGAACAATGCAATTGCAATGGACTGCAGATGACCTTCCATACTAGACCCTCCTGTAGCTGTTGCAGGCGTCTGTGATGGGAATAGGAAGCACTGGGGATATTTTACTTACCTTTCCTTTGCAATTAGGAACTTCTCTTGTATCTGAGACAATCATGGCTGGGCTGGTTGCTTCACTTCCCTCTCCTTTCATGCCTCAGAGGGTCCCTGTCACTTCCTTGCAGAATTCCAGTGTTCTTGTTTAGGCACTTTATTTGATGTGTGGTTGTCTACTTGTTTTAGAGGTGCCTGACACTTGCCCCTTCTTTGTGAATGAGGCAAGTGTCAGGCACCTATGGTCAGCCATCTTCCATCTTTTTTGGTATTTTGGTAATATATTTTACTTTATCATATGGCATAAACACATAATACATTGCTATCTTTTAATCATTTATCTTTTAGAGTGATTGAACATAAGAAAATTTATATTTACCTTTATTTATATCATTTCAGGAGCTCTTTGGTTGTTTGTGTGGATCTTAGTTTATATCTGACATTATTTCCCTTCTGCCTGAAGAACTTTTGTTGACATTTCTTACAACACAGGACCGTCGATAATAAATTCGCTCAGCTTTTATTTTTCTTAAAATAACTTTAGTTTGCGCTTCATCTTTGAAAGATATTTTCAATTGGTGTAAAATTTTATGTTGACTTTTTCCCAGTAATTTCAATATATCATTACCTTGACTTTTGGTTTGCACCATTTATGTATTTCAAAGAGAAATACGTGTTTTTGTCTTGGTTCATTTGTATGTGATTTATCTCTTTAAGTACAACATATCTAATTTTTAATAGTGTATTTATTATTTTAGTTGCTCTTTGGATTTATAGCTCAATCTCTTTCATTAATTTTGGAAAATTATCAGGCATTATATCTTCAGATATCTTTCTGCTCCATTTTACTCTTATCTGCTTGGGAATCCCAAATATATATATATATATATATATATAATATATATATTATATATGTAATCCCAATTTTATATATATTATATATGTAATCCCAATTATATATATTATATATATAATCCCAATTATATATATATTATATACATATGATCCCAATTATATATATATATTATATATATTATATATAATATATAATCAGGGCTCCCAATTATATATATTTTTTATATATAAATATTTTATATATAAATATGTTTTATATGTATATATATTTTATATATATATATATATATATACATATAAAATCCCAATTATATATATATGGGATTCCCGAGCACATGAGAGTAAGAATGGAGCAGAAAGATATATTAGATTAGTTGATATTGTTACACGGCTCTTGGATGCTCTGCTATTTTTTTCTCTTTTACCTTTCCTATTTCCCCTTGCATTTATGTTTAGATTATTTTTGTTGATATAAAGTTTACTGATTTAGTTTTCAGCTGTGCCAGGTGTACTGACGAATTCATTAAAGGCATTCTTCATTTCGATTACTGTGATTTTGGTTTTATCATTTCATTTTCTATTATTATTGTAGTTTCTGTTTTACTGATGAAAATTTCCATTTCTTCATGAATTTTGTTCTCATAATCCACTACAGCCTTTAACATATTGAGCTTTATTTAAAATTCAGGGTGATAATTTTAGTATCTGGTCATTTCTGTGTCTGGTCCTGTGTATCATTTTATCCCTAGACAGTAGGTTGTGTTTCCTGGATGTTTTGGATATGTCTCACAAATTTTTATTGAATTCCAGAGCAGTAGAGAATACTATTGTTTTTATAGTATTTTAGTACTTACAAATATTATTTGTCACTGTAAATGGATATATCCTTTTCCAGCTTATTTGGGTGGGGGTTTATGTCAACCTAGTTTGGAGCTCAGATGTGTCTGAATTTCTTTGTTGCTATGATTATCTTCAGTTTGCCACTAGCTTCAAATTATTCTAGTGTTATTTAAGTTTTGAGGGAAGGGGCTGAATGGGGCAATAGAATATTCAAGATGATCATATCAACAGTGAAACTCAAACATAGTTTATCTACAGATGAGATTGACACAAGGCCCTATAAAAATGACCTAGAAAGAGGTATATCCATTTGTAGTGACAAATAATATTTATAATATCATCTGGGAATGTTTCCCACTCCTCCTTCAGGTTTAGAGGATTTTTCTTTTATTGTTTCTGTTCCTTTCACTTGTGCATTTAGGGGATAAGTTTGTTATTTCTCCCCTAGTCATGTGAAGCCATTTTTCCCATAAGGGACTTCATGCCTTTCCTCTTACAGAAGCCTCTCTCCTTCTCTAGGTCTGTACCACAAAGAAAAACATTTTCTGGTCTACCTACCTGCCTGTAATCTTCCTTCTGAACATCTAGAGTCTTCAAATGGATTTGAATTCCCTGTGTGTCTATGACTCAGTAGTTCTACACTCTCATATTTCCTCATTTGACATTTAATAATTTAAAAAAATTAGCTTAGCTTTTTAACTCATTTGTGTGGGACCCAGCATTACTTCTTCTTGTGCTTTGCCATGGAGGAGTCAGTGCTTGCTTCCCATACTCTGTTTGGTGGGGTTTGACTTTCCTTTGATACTATATTATTTAGCTGCTCTTCAAACTTAGTTCTCTGATAGTTTTGGGAAAGTTTTTTACTTCATTGAGAAATTTTCTGTTGTTAGGGTAGAAGGGATGCTCTTTCAATTTTTCTACATCTTAGGTGAGAGTGAAACTTCAAAAACATTTTAAAATTAAAGTTCCTCGTAGGAAATAGAACTTGTATGCTAAATCAGTATTTATCAAATTGTTTCTGGTGGAGCATCTGGAAGTCATAATGCTATTTATAGAACTATAGCTTTATTCAAATTTAAACAATTGAATATATGTTTATGCCAAATTATGTAAATTATTTATATATTAAATGGTTGATGCAATTTAATGAATATATCTTGGATTTTGATAATGATAGTAGATATTTTTATAGTTTATATATAATTCTAGAAACACAACTTTGAACTGAGGTGTAAAGATATTAGGTTGATTGCTTTGGGGCATAGAGCATTAGCATGTATTTGAGTTGAAATTTGAGCCTATATCATTTTGTTTCAAAATGTAGCCTCTTTTCACTGTACCACCATGTGGTGTTAACTTCTTTTTGCATAGGTTAACACTCAGTGACTAGGGAAGGGGTAAATTAATGGTAAAAATCTGACTGGACTTCTATTGCTGAATATACTTCGACTTTTATTTAACATGAGCCAATTTTTAAAAAATAGGTAATGATATGGGAAATGATGATGCCATCGGAGGGAATGTGAGCAAATATATAGTGCTTCCAACTGGATACTGTGGACAGCCCAAGAAAGGACATCTTATCTTTGATGCTTGCTTTGAAAGTGGTAAGTTTATTAAAGGCTTTTCCTTTTAAGTTTGTTTGGTAAGGTGTTTTTTATTTTTCAGAATTGAATTTTTTGTGACCATTCAGTGTGATTCAACTCATTTAGTATTTTAGAATAATGGAACAAGTTTTATGGGAAAAATTTTTGAAGGAATTAACTTGGGAATATTAAATTTTTATTGTTATAAATGATTAATATTATAATTGATAATAGTAACAAATGCTTATAATAGTACCTTATATTTTATAAACTACTTTCCAAGATATTAGTTTTTTAAATAAAGTCCTCATGTTTGATTGTATTATCAATTATGATTTATTGAATAACATCTATCTAGTTCTTTATGACATGCTTACAGTAGAACTTAATTTTGGGGGGAGAGGAGGCTTCCCTATAAAACAAACAATTAGCTAATATATTTACCCTCTTTGAATATAAACTAAGGAACAGAGGTAAAATGGCCTAATAATTGGCAAATGCTGTAGGTATTCTGATAGTGGAGATCAGGATCAGGATTTGATTGTTTGTTCTCACTCAGCAGGGGCTAGATCTTGTTTAGCTCTTGACGTTCTGAGCCTCATACTCTAATTGGCACATAGTAGAGACTCAGAATAGTTTGAAAATATTAGCGAGAAAGTTAAATAATTATTTCATAAATAATTATTAATTTTCATTGGTTCTGAATAATGCGCATGTATCTGTGTGTTTATGTGTGGCTGAAGGGACATATCAATGTCAGTTATATAATAGTTGTTTCTGGACCTTAAAAACATTGGTTGTTTATACCAAACAATTGAAAATTTATTTGTGCAGGATGTTGCTCTTTGATTATGTCACATTGTATAGATTTGATAGGGTTGATATAACAAAGTACTACAAAGTGGGTTTAACAACAGATATTTATTGTTTCTTACTTTCATGGTACTCAGTTTGTCACAAAGTACCACAAACTGAGTGGATTAAAAAACAGAAATGTGTTGTCTCACAGTCCTAGAGATTAGAAGTCTGAGGTCAAGATATTAGCAGGACTGGTTCCCTATAAGAATTATGAAGAAGAATCTGTTTCATGTTTCTCCCCTAGCTTCTGACAGGTTGTTAGCAATCTTTGGTGTTTTTTGGTTTACAGAAGCATCACCCTAATTTCTCCCTTCATCTGTACATGTTGTTCTCCCTGTATGTCTATGTCCAAATTTCTACTTTTTACAAAAATATCAGTCACATTGGATTAGGACCTACTTTAATGACCTCATTTTAACTTGATTACCTCTGTAAAGGTCCTAGGACTTCAGCATAGAAATTTTGAGAGGACATGATTCAGCCCATAATGCAATATTGTAGTGTTGTACTTCCAACCAGACCTGAATGCTGTCCACATAATTAAAAACAATGGCTTCTTATTTTCTATAGATCTTGTACTAGTGCCTTTTCTTGTATGTACTTGATGCCTGCAAAATATCTTTGATTCTTTCGTATGTTAGTTAAAGGTGTAAGGGCCCTTTACAATGATTACAACTCTATGGGAATAAAGATTACCCTCATTTGAAAGATTGTGTCTTGATTTACATAAGCCTGAAATAATTCAGATTCCTTTCCCAGAACATCTTTTATTTAATCCCACTACAGTCTTTTCCCATCCCTTACAAAAAGACTCAGTAAAAGAAGTTGTCAATCTTACCACATAATTATCAAATAAATAATCCACATTTTCCCAACAATTTATGAACAATCAGTAATATCAGTTAGATCTATGATAGTCATAGATGAGACTTGCAGTAGAGTGATTAAGTGGACAGGCTTTTGTTCAGGCTGCAGTTCAAATCTTGGTTTGAAAAAGAAGCCAGTTTTCTTACATTTTATTAAGGGATGATACCTACTATCTGTCATAATTAATGTATGTGTGTGTGTGTATGTCTTCCTTACCAAAATATACATAATAATAATAATAATAATAATAATAAATTAGATAAATGAAGACATCTTTGAAAAGGTATTAGTTAGGGCAAAGAAGACTCATCAGAGTTTAGAGTGTCAATGCTTCCCACACATCCACATCCTAACTTTCACAATACCATGTTTTCCAATCATTGCCCTCATGTTAACAATACACACTCTGCCCTGCTGGTGTTTAACTTGCCTTGTAATTCGTCAAGTCACAGGATAAGGTTCTACATTTGATCTTCAGCAATTTTAACCCTGTTGCTACAGAAGGTAAAGGTCTCCTTCAGGGCACACATAGACATTCCTAGGTTATTTATTTGGTGTTTATGCTGGGAATTTGAATCCCTGAACTCATCCTCCCCACTTCTGCCCCCTTTTTTTGTCATGTTGTCCGGTAACATTAGGAGGAACCAGCCAATGTCATCATATTAAATTTTCAAAACTGTTTGATAATATCATATACAAAGTCACATAGATCCTTGCTTCTTATAAGTGAGTGATTAGGAATATCCAGTGCAGTAATTTTGGATAATCTCTATAAACACTTCATGCCATGGACTTCTTCTGCTACTGGATATAACATCATTAGCACCTTAAATTTTTTATTTGAAGAAATCTAAGGGGTATAAATGCAATTTTGATACATGGATATATTGTGTAGTGATAAAGTTTGGGCTTTTAGCATAACCATTACCCAAATAATATACATTGTGCCCACTAAATAATTTCTCATTTCTCATTCCTTGGCCGCCCCCTTCTGAGTCCCCAAGGTCTGTTATTCCATGCTCTATGTGTATACATATAATTTAGCCCTCACTTATAAATGAGAACATGTGTATTGACTTTCTATTTTTGAGTTGTTTCACTTAAGATTATGGCCTCCAGTTCCATCCATGTTGCTGCAAAATACATGATTAAATTCTTTTTATGGCTGATTAGTATTCCATTGTATACCACATGTTCTTTATGCAATCATGCATTGAGGGACATTTAGATTGATTCCACATCTTTGCTATTGTGAATAGTAGTGTAATAAACATCGAAGTGAAGATAACGTTTTTATGTAATTATTTCTTTTTCTTTGAGCAAATACCCAGTAGCGGGATTACTAGATTGAATGGTAGTCCTATGTTTAGTTCTAAGAAAAATTTCCATACTGTTTTCCATAGAGGCTGTATACAGCCAAACCATATCATTCTACCAAGCCCCTCCCAAATCTCATGTCTCACATTTTATAACCAATCATGCCTTCTCAACAGTTCCCCCAAAGTCTTAGCTCATTTCAGCATTAATTCTAAAGTCCACAGTCTACAGTCTCATCTGAGACAAGGCAAGTCCCTTCTGCCTATAAGACTGTAAAATCAAAAGCAAGTTATTTACTTCCTACATACAATGGTGGTACAGGCATTGGGTAAATACAGCCATTCCAAATGGGAGAAATTGGCCAAAACAAAGGGACCACAGGAATGTAAGTCCCAAATCCAGCATTGCAGTCAAATCCTGAAGCTCCAAAATGATTTCCTTAGACTCCATGTCTCACATCCAGGTCACACTGATGCAAGAGGTGGGCTCCCACAGCCTTGGGCAGCTCTGTCTCTGTGTCTTTGCATGATACAGCCCCCTTCCTGGCTGCTTTCATGGGTTGGCATTGAGTGCATCTGGCTTTTACAGGCACATAGTGCAAGCTGTCTGTGCATCTACCATTCTGGGATCTAGAGGATGGGGGCCCTCTTCTCATATATCCACTAGGTGATGCTCCAGTAGACTCTGAATGTGGGCTTTGACTTCACATTTCCCTTCTGCACTGCCCTAACAGAGGTCCTCCATGAGTGCTGCACCCCTGCAGCAAACTTGCCTGGGCATCCAGGAGTTTCCATACGTCCTCTGAAATGTAGATGGAGGTTCCCAAACCTCAGTGTTTGACTTCTGTGCACCCACAGGCTCAACATCACATGGAAGCTGCCAAGGCTTGGGACTTCCACCTTCTGAAGCAACAGCCTGAGCTGTATCTTGGCCTCTTTTAGTCATGGCTGGAGTGGTTGGGATGCAGGCCATCAAGTCCCTAGACTGCACACAGCAGAAGGACCCTGGGCCCAGCCAATGAATCCATTTTTTTCTTCCTGAACCTCCTTTTCTGTGATGGGAGGGGCTGCCACAAAGGTCTCTGACATGCCCTGGAGACATTTTTTCTATTGTCTTGGGGATTAACATTCAGCTTCTCGTTACTTATGTAAATTTATGCAGCTGGCTTGAATTTCTCCCCTGAAAATGGGATTTTTTTTTTTAATCACATTGTCTGATTGCAAATTTTCCAAACTTTTACTCTCTGCTTCCCTTATAAAACTGAATGCCTTTAACAGCACCCAAGTCACTTCTTAAATACTGTGCTGCTTAGAAATTTCTTTTGCCTCTATTTTCTAATGTGTTCTATTGATCTCTATCTTTCTTAGTAACATTACTATACTGGTTTGGTTACTGTTTGAATGCTTTGCTGCTTAGAAATTTATTCTGCTTCTATTTTCAATTCTGTTCCATTGATCTCTTTGTGCATTTTAGTACCAGTACCATACTGTTTTGGTTGCTGTAGACTTAAAGTATAGTTTGAAGTTAGATAGTGTGATTTTTCCAGCTTTGTTCTTTTTTCTTGGGATTCCTTTGACTATTTGGGCTCTTTTTTGATTCCATATGAATTGTAGGAATTTTGTCTAAATCTGTGAAAAATGATGCTGGTAATTTGATTGAAATAACATTGAATTCATAAATTATTTTGACCATGATGGCTATTTTAATAACATTGATTATCCCAATCAATAAGCATGGGATGTCTTTTGATTTATTTGTGTCATCTCTGATTTATCAGTGTTTTATAGTTGTCTTAGTTAACCAGTTAGTTTAGCTGTAGTCCTATGTATTTCATTTTTTGTGGCTATTATATAATCAATGGAATTGTATTCTTGATTTGATTCTCATTCTGGATGCTGTTGGTGTATAGAAATGCTACTGATTTTTGTACATTGATCTTGTGAAACTTGCTAAAATAGTTTGTCAGTTTTAGGAGCCTT